TCTCTTCCCCCTCTCTCTCCCTCCCCCCCCAATATACACACATGTGTGAGGGGGGTGTGTGGGTGTGCACATGCACATGTATGTGTACATGTGTGGATATAAAAGAATGCACATGTGTGTATAGGATGTGTACGTGTACATATGTGTGTGCGCGCATCAGCTATGTCTGCACATACATAAAAGCTGTGGGTAGGCGTGTAAGAGATGGCACATGTGCGTGTCTAAGGTATGTGTAGCAGTGTCTGTGCGACGCCTCCCAGCCTGCCCACCCTGGGGTCTCTGCAGGGTCTGCCCGGTGAGCAGGCTCACAGCTGCCATACGGCCTTTTGGGGGGCTGGGACCTCCCTGTGCTGTCCTTGTCACTTCGCTGTCATGTTGCAGTTAAAGGCTAAAGCCCAGCTCTGCCCCGGCCCCTGGACAGCCTCTGTAGCGCTCAACAAGAAGGCTCTGATCTTATCACACTGTTAAAGAGATGTTTCATTCTTTTCCCTGGCCTGGTGGTGTGGTGTGAGATTTCCGCTTTGACTTTCAGCTTTTTTTCTTTTTTCTTTTTCCCCACAGAATTGATCTGTGTAAGCCCAACATATCAGTAATTTCAACCTGAGTAGGCAGGGTACATTTTCAGTTTCCTGGCCTGAAGGCATTAAGTGGGTGATCTCCTCCAATGTACTAACTACTATTTTGATACTTGATTAAAAAATATGTTCTTGGATGTTAGAAAAGCTGATTGCTGCCACCAAAAAAATCTCATTCCAGTTTTGGAGCCTTCGAACAGCTTTATAGCAGCGTCTGCCCAGCTGGCACCATCCCAGGGTGGAAAATTTACAGTCAAAGTCATACTTGACCTGCTAGTGAGATTCTTATAAGCCTTGATAGCCGCTTACTAGAAAATACACGTTTTATTCATTATTTCCATATAATGTATATACTCCATGTTTACCCCGTTCAATGACAAAAAAAGTTTTGTGAACAGGGGACCAAGATTTTTGTTTTAATCTACTGCTAGTCCCCCACGTGCCCCCAGTACAGCCCTTTCCCATGTCATCCCACTGTAATATCCCCTTTCCTGCTCCCATCTCCTTCCCTTCCCATCTCTCTGACTCAGATCCCGCAAGTGTGACTGGGCAGGCAGCGAAATGTGCTGTGGTCTGTGCAGACCGGCCAGAAAATGCACACAGGGGTGGTTTGGCCTCTTGGTTTTTGTCTTTTGAAATAAGTAGAGAGCTGGGTGGCTCTCTCTCAGATGTTGTACTAAGAGATGGGGGGGGGGGTGTGTGCAGCAAACGCCGTTTCATTGTTACAGAGACACTGAAGAGACAAGAGACAAAAATAAAATTAGAAATTTGCATTGAATATTTATTTTGATAAACATTGTGTACTCTGAACAACTACGTGTTATTTCAGTTGTAAGCCACAATCTGTTGGAACCAACGTCCCAAGAGCTCTTGTCATCATAAACCAGACAGTCAATGCATTACCACGGTCTGCGGACACAGAGAGCTTTCAAGTGCAAAGCAGATTATCAGAAAAGACAAATTGCCGACCTCCTTAACAACCTGGACAATGCTAAACTCCAGTAAAAATGCTTCATATGTCTGCAATTTAGTTGTCTTAGTGCCATTGTAATAAATTAATAGAAAATATATCTTTTTTCATTGGAAAGTCTATAAGAAAATGTACAAACATCTAACTCCGAAAAAGGACCAGCTGTTTCGGCGACAGGTAAAACAAGCATTCGAACAGAGGCAAAAAATCCAAACATCCAAACAAACAAACAGACAAACAAACAAAATGCAATCAAAAAACCCCCACTCTACCAATGGCAACTCTGTAGGCAAACATGGAAACATCTGCAGTAATAAAATTTACAAAGAGGGTAACTGCAGCTTGTGCAGGGACTGTACAGGATGTACAAAGAACAAGCAGTCAGGTAACTCACTGGTCAAAATGTGCACGTGCATCTTCTAGAACCGTCAAAGATTAAAAAATAATCGTATGGCACAAAACTATTGCTGACTGGCAATGGTATTAGGCTTCCTTCTGTCTTCAGAGCAACACATTGACTTCATCCCGTAAAGGTCGGTGGGAGCCCTTTGCATTCCTCAGACGTGGCTGCCCCAGTACGATGCTACGATGCTCTGTTATCCCTCAGGCTTACAGACTGCAGCGATCCCGTACTCCGCATTCACAACGCAAGACCCACCCTAGCTCCAAAACAGGGCCCATGTGACAAGTTTGCATGATAGAACAAACGACTTAAATGTTTCCTTCTCTTAATAAGATCAAATTTTTTAGGAAAGAAAAAAAAAAAAAAGTATTTTCCTAGAGCCAAGTCTTATGATTTCACCCTGAGAATTCCCAAAACAGTAAAACCAGAAGCTACACTTTAGCACGAAGGCAGTGTGCTCGTACAAGCTGAATGAACCAGTCTAGGGGATAGACCCACCTGGCATGATCCTCACCAGCATTTACACGCTTACAGAGAGCAGGAGAAGGGAACTCGCCGGTGGCCAGTGAAGCAACACCCCACAGAGGGCAGCCCCTGCCCCAGGGGTCGTACAAAGCCAAATCCCAAACCAGGTACATTCTGAGCCCAGCTTTCCTGCCCACCGTTTGTTAAGTGCTCACAAAAGAAATACTCCTGCATTGATCCACGTCGTGGAAGCAGGTGTGTTCCACTAACACCGGTCGGTGCAAAGACATCAACAGAATCACCTCAGGACAGTGAAGAAGTTTAGGTAACCCAGGCTAATGTACTCCAGGGACTTCTTTTTAGCCTATTTGGATAATCATGGTTGAACCACAAGTGAGGCTTTTTCAAGCAATAGTTTGTGAAATCCCCAAACCATCATAAGCCATTGGGTGAAAAAACAACACACCTTACTTGCCTTTTACAAGTGTTGCCCATTCCTTTTGGAAACGGCACAAATGCCTAAAGAGCATTCATGAACAGACTCTTGTTGAGAAGTGAGGGAGGGAAAGCTTGGCTCTTCTTTTTTTTTTTTTTTTTAAATACAATACACATGACATTCGGTGAGTTCAAAAGAACTATATAATAAGACTGAAAAGAGCATTTCCAGTTTCAAAACCCAGGAGAGGCTTGAGGGGAATGTAACCTACAGTATTACCTAAATTTTGATGTTGCTTATGGTTGCTCTGACTTTCAGGGCAATTGATTTAAACCAGGCTTATAGAGTGCAACACCTGCCCAGCCTTTGGAATGACACACAAAATCCTTGCTCTTTCATTCTAGCCGCAAGATAGTGTTTTGGATACTGCAGGGGAAAAAAGCAACTTAATTACATGAGCTTTAATTAAAACAGATCAAAAGAAAGTAACCATCAGCAACTAGAATAATTTCTATAGCAATGGGGACAGGCAGAGGCAAACTAGG